GGGGGTGGGGTCGTGGTGGTGAAGGCAACAATGGACGTCATGTAGCTACAAGGCAAGAACCGGCAAGGACCACTGGCCAACCCAGAAGCTAGAAGAGAGGCATGGAGCAGATGCTCTCTGAGTGCCCAGGAAGGAACACACTCTGCAGACATCTTGAGTTTAGACTTCCAGCCGCCTTGACTGAGAGGATACATTTCTACCATTTAAGGCACTTAGTTTGTGGTACTTTGTAATGGTCACCCCAGGGAATGAATAAACCAGATTAATTCACCCGCCTCCCTGCCCAGTCTACAAGAGCAGCCTGTGGGGTCAGCAAAGACAGGGGAAAAAGCTGTAATGCTTCTTTTCTAGTAAACCTTATCAGCACAAATAAAGCTCTGTCTGGAAGTATTCTTTTCTGTGAACCTATTTTGGTTCCCAGCAATCATTTTTAAGACTCTCAAACACAAATGCCAGAGATTCATATCTACGTCTCTGAAATCGGCTCCCCACAGTGTCTCATACCAGAAGATCTGCTTATGGGTTCATGTGTGTCCTTGTCTCTGAATGTTTAAAAAAATGTGTCCAACCCGGCCAGGCGGGGCTCAGTGGTTGAGCTTCGACCTAGGATCCAGGAGATCGCAGTTAATTCCCAGTCAGGGTGCATGCCCGGGTTGCGGGCTCCATCCCCAGTCAGGGGTGTGTGTGCAGGAGGCAGCCGATCAATGACTCTCTCATCATTGATGTTTCTGTCTCTCTCTCTCCCTTTCCTTTCCTCTCTCTGAAATCAATAAAGATATATTAAAAAGAAAAAAATGTGTCCGTCCCTAAAGGGTAGCAGCGCACACATGGGGAGGGCTGCTTCCCATCCCCACACCCCTCAACTCCAAGGGGCCTACACACCCTCACCCCTTGAAGGTCCTCTCCCTGCACACATTCTGTAGGTCTCAATGCAGAGCAGAAGCCACCTGCATGGCCTCTGCCTCTTCCTCTGCCTCCTCCTAAGAGAAGTGACTGTACGCAAGTCAGCTCAGCAATGGGCCCACTGCCCTGGTCTGACAAAACGAGCCAACAGCTGATGCAGGTGAGCCCACATTTGCCACTCACAGGGAACATGGGGACAAGCTGTGAGGTGTCCTTAGGGAAGGTTTAACCCTCAGGTCACAGGTTTATCTTCTCTCTGGCCCACACCTCAGCCTCACCTGAGTGCCTGCACCTCCCCAAGAGACCCTGGCACCAATCCATCAGACCCCGGTCCTTGAACCAGGCCTACGCTGCTGTAAGAGCATGTGACTTAGGAGACACCAAGATTCACACGTATGTATGAAAGCCCTAAACTTCAGTCGTGTGGAGTGCAGCAGACACGTGGATGAGCCAAAGCTTTACCTATAAGGGATTGTGATGACCCACAATCCTAGCCGACAAGTTCATATTCTGGGTTATAAACTAAAAGCACTGAACTGTCCTCCCTGCTCCTCCAACACATGGAAGCGCCTGGTGCAGAGAGAAGATGAAGGGACCAGAAATCAAGAAAACCAGGCTGCCATTGTTGTCACCTGCCACTTGGTTGATCTGGATCTGGGTTTTCCCTGACTCAAGTCTAAATTGGAGAAAAGCAAGGAGCGGTGTTTACGAAGGCAGACTTCAAGGCCTCACACTGGAGCTGTTCTAGAAAAGGACAGCAGCTGTGCGCTAGAGGGATCACAGGTAAGGGCATCACAGGTAAGGGGAGAGGCACACACATCCTCCTGCCTTCCTTCAGAAAAGGGGCAGGATCAGAGATGCTAGCAACTATGGGCTGGCCCAGTCACACAAAACTCGGCCCTCCCACTGCCTCCCCCTCAAAAATGCCCCCAGTGCTGGTTCTGGCTCCACTTTTATGCCTCAGGGCAGTGACCTTTAAAGAGGGAGCTCAGAGTCATTAAGACAGGAATTTAAGCCAAACACATGAGAGGAAGAAGCTAGAAGAAAAGGGAAAATATGTGACAAGCAGGCGCCAACCAGCTTTTGACCGGGGATGAAAGCATCAGCATTAATAGAGGAATTATTCTTAAACTTGATCTCTGTTGGGACAGGACAGAGAGGGCAAAGAAAGAGCTTTTCCAATCACCCCACTATCCACAAGTGGATTTTCTTCCAAGCTTTTCAGCTTATCTATTGTATCCCAGGCCTCATGCATTTTTCACAAGCCTCTTAGAATTACCAAACAAATTGCTGGAAGGGTGAGTGCCCAGACCATTTTATCACCACTCAGAGAGGAAAAGGCAAAGGCGCAAACAGTCTCCATGGCAAACGGTAAACACATGTCCCTTAGAGGGCCTGCTGCAGAACACCTAGGAAGGGATCCTGGGGGAGCCTGGCTCTGAGCAGACTACAGAGTTTGGAAAAGCAAAAACATACAGCCTTGGGTCAGCAGGGCCAGGCGGAGGAATAGAGAATGCTGGCTGTTTGTTGAGGGGACAGAAGGACAGCGACCAGCCAGATGCCCCCTCGGCCCCAAGCCCACAGAATACTAAAAGATGGTGGTGCCCAGAGGCACACCAACAATCCCTCTGCAGTACTAGAGGGAGTCAAGGTTTCCCCACTGAGAATCTGAGCCAAACGAGAGGACTGGGATGAACATTGGAGTTACTGTTTCCTCTGCAGTTCCATTTATGGGCAGGAAATGAGCAAGGATGTGCTTTCATCTAATAGAAAATGCAGGTAGAAGTCCCTGAGTTCAAATCCTACCTCCGCCACTTACTCTATGTCTGTGGAAAGAAACCACAGCTCATCTCTGAAATTGTTTCCTTGTATATAAAATAATAACAACTATCTCAGGAAGGTGCTGTGGGCAATAGGAGATCATGGATATAAAAGGAATCTCATGATTCTGCAACCCATGGACTCTCGGGGCCAAACCTGACCTGAGGTCTCTGAGCTCATCCTGCCCAGGCCAATCCAGCAGACAACAAGGGGCATGCTCGGCACCTAGGATGAGCAGCTGGGCTGGCCTGGGTCAACTCTCCTGCTGGTGCCTGGAGCAGGACACCTCCCCTCCTAACCCCATGGCAGCACAGGCTGCAGGGAGTGCCCTTCTGCCAATAGCTCAGGTCCTGACAGAGTCCCCAATGTCATTGCAGCCAATCTACTCCTTACATGGAAGAAGGGGAGGCACCCACTCACAATTCCTGCCCCTCAATTCTCAATTCTCCATTCTCAGGAGGTAACAGGGGCTCTGGACTACACACCAAAACACTGCAGATCCCTTTTTAGAAAGCAGTGGATTCATTTTGTAGAGGTGAATACAAAAATGGTTTACAGAGTAAATAGGATATCTGGTATTTGTTTAAAAATAACCCTGCTCAAGGGGTGGGTAGAGAAACAGGTGAGGCAAGATGGAACATGGGTGGTCAGAAGTTGCTAATGCGTGAAGCTGGGTGATGGTACATGGGAGTACACTGCAGCGTTCTCTCCTCTCAAGTAATTTAAAATTTTCCACCCACGCACCCCTTGCTGTGCCAGAAACAGGGTCAGGCGCCAATACCATCTTTCATGAAGGAGCAAGACTCCACTACCCGGATGG